GTGTGTCAACCCCTGCTCTAAGTGACAATTGAGGCTGGTATGTCAAGTGTTTAGTGTAAACTTGCCCAGAATCACAATGCAAACCTAGGCCTTCTAACTCTAGATAGCCGTTGCATATGGTTTTCCCTAAGCTTTTGCCCCTAAAATAATAATTTTTACTTACACAGTGCTTATTGTCTTCTTGGCATTATTGATCTTTAATCAAAACAGCCTATGACAAATATACCATACTTGGGGAAACCGAGGCACAGATTAGTTAAGCAACGTTACCAAAGTCCCATACCAACAAGAGACGGAGCCAGGCTGGGGACCCAGAAGAGTCTGTCTTTTGCAATGAGGGAGCCACAAACCCCCAGCAGGACCCATTGAGTGGTTTAATTGTTTTCATCTGTTCAGCCTTGAGCTTAGTGGTATAACTTACTTAGTGGTATAAAGATGATTGTTCTGCTAGCCTGAATTCTCCTCTGCACAAAATACAGAGGACCCTTGGAAAACACAAGCTTGAACTATTCAAGTCCACTTATATGCAGATTTTTTTTCGATACAGTACAGTGCTATATTTCCTCTTCCTTATGATTTTCTTAACATTTTCTTTTTTCCTAGTTTACTTCTTTGTAAGAATAGAGTATATAGGGGCACCTGGGTGGCTCAGTACTTTCAGCATCTGCCTTTGGCTCTGGTCATGACACTAGGGTCCTGGGATGGAGACCCACATTGGGCTCCCTGCTCAGCAGAGAGCCTGCTTATCCTTCTCCCTCTCCCTGCTCTCTCTCTCTCTCTCTCTCTCACTTCCTCAGATTAAAAAAAAAAAAAAAGCATAGGGTATATAATAAATAAAACATACAAAATATGTGTTACTCAGTTATTTATATTAACAGTAAGGCTTCTGGGCAATAGTAGCCTATGAGTAATTAAGTTTTGGGGGGAATCAAAAGCTATGTGTGGATGATTGACTGCCAGCAGGGGGATGTTGGTACCCCTAAGTCCCCACATAGTTCAAGGGTTGGTTATTTCATGACATGAAATAATCAGTCTTTCCTTAGAACCGTGGGTCAGGAATGTCTTATAAAGCATTCCCTAAACATTGTTAATAGGCATTAGTATTTCTTATTTAAATTTACAAAACCCTGGGCCCATCCCAGCCCTACTGAGTCATTGCCATGGCAGAGCCTAGGAATAGGATTTTTAAAAGGCATGAGCCCAGTGATGAGGCATGTTTGGGAAACACTAGCCTGGAGCGTACTAAATCTTTCTCAAATGAGTGGCACCTGGCTGGCTCAGTTGGAAGAGTGTGCAACTCTTGATCTGAGGATTGTGAGTTGAGCCCCATGTTGGGTGTAAAGATTACTTAAGTAAGTAAATAAATCTTCCTCAAATGCTTATTGAATTGTATCGAGACATTCGGACCACATTAATTTTTTTTTTAAGATTTTATTTATTTATTTGACAGAGATCACAAGTAGGCAGAGAGGCAGGCAGGGAGAGAGGAGAGAGGAGGAAGCAGGCTCCCTGCTGAGCAGAGAGCCCGATGTGGGGCTCGATCCCAGGACCCCGGGATCATGACCTGAGCCGAAAGCAGAGGCTTTAACTCACTGAGCCACCCAGGCACCCCAATTTTTTTTTAAAGACTTTATTTATTTATTTGACAGAGATCACAAATAGGCAGAGAAGCAGGCAGAGACAGAAAGAGGAGGAAGCAGGCTCCCCGGCGAGCAGAGAGCCTGATGCGGGGCTTGATCCCATTAATGATGACCTGTCCCATGAGCCTCTGTGCATATTATAGATCACAATTCAGAAGCAAGTTTGGATTTCATTTTTTGAAAAGCTCCTAGAATACTATTAAAAACTAACTTTCACCTCACAATAAAATACATTTATTGCTGAAGAGAAGAAAATAAAAATTATACACATTGCTTTTACCCAGAGACATACTGTTCATCAGTTACTATTTTGATGTATACTCACAATCCTTTTTTGATTGAATTAGTACAATTTTATTAAATTCTTAAAATACCACGTAGTTATTTTGGGTTACAGTTGTGGGAAGGGATTTCACTTGGGTTTCAGATTTGTTACTCTCTTGAAAGTGTTTAGATAAAGAGCCAAGAAATACATTGTTGCTCTTATGGGAACAGAAGAGCTAGTGAATATTAATTACTGTTTAAAACCTTGAATTTATATCATGAGACTTGGACGGAGCACATTTAGATTATTTGGATGTGTTCTTTTTGTTCCTTTCTGGTTGCTGCCAAATTATCCTTTAATGAAATCTTTCTCTTTATAGTTCTTTACCAACTGGGCATCCACCATATCACTGTTGATGTCATCTTTGATATGACAAGGGCAGAGCCATTGACACTGAGGCCCACAAACTGGGCAGTCCCCAGGATTGCTTTAATTAACGCTGAGGAATTGTCTGCCTAAAGATCAATGTTGCAACTGTTAGTTGCTTCTGACAATAACATAAAGAATGATTGTTCTATTGTATTTAATGTGTAAGTTTCCTTTTCTATCTCTGGGTGGTTCCTCCAGAGTTTTGATGATGGGGCAGTGGAGGAAGGTGCTACCTCATTCTGGGTCTTTCCATTCTGAAGGGTCAGCTTCACTGGAATCCAAATGCTTCCAGTTGCTAAATTGCTTGGCAATGTTGATGTCACCGCCAGTGTTTCTGAAGGTGCACTGAGGGGTTGATTTGGGAGTGAGTGTGGGTATTTATTACAGAGTGCATCCTGGTGTAGTGGAAATAGGATGAACCCAAAATTAGAAAACTTGGATCCTATCTGTATTCTTTATTCTATACTGATCATTTATCCTTAAGACTGTTACTTGTATTGTCTGAATCTCAGTTTGCTCATCTGGAGGTAAGGATGACAATATTGACCATGATTATGTTATAGGATTACAGGGAAGATGAGGATGAGATAGTGGATAAGACTCCTTTGATAAATTATAATGCATTATGTCAGGTGATATTATTAACCATAAAACAACAAGAGTAATAATGATTCCTGTAAAGAATTGCTGTTAGAAATGCAAATAGGTTTCTATGTGAAGGCTCTAATTATCTGAATCTGTGTAGCTTATTGCTGTGGATATCATAACAAATTAGCCCTCCCCCCCTCTTTTTTTTTTTTTTTTTTTTTTTTTTAAGTAGGCTTCATGACCAGCATGGAGCCCAGTGAGGGGCTTGAACTCACCACCCTGAGATTACAACCTGGTTTGAGATCAACTGACTGAGCAACAATCTGCTAAGACCTTTTACTAATTTATTAAACTTCTTTTTCTGAGCAGTTTTAGGCTTACAGAAAAGAATAAATAAAAAGGAGGTTTCCCTTATGCCCTCCAATGCTTTTTCCCACTTATATTCACATCTGGCATTAGTAGGGTACATTGGTTACAAATGATGAGCCAGGATAGGTACAGTATTATTAACTAAAGTCCACAGTTTGGGTTAGGGTTCACTCTTGGTGTTGTATATTTTGTATATGTATAATGACATGTATTCACCGTTATAGTATCACTGTACAGTGTAGTATAGTATAGTATAGTATCACCAGTATGGTTTCACTGCCCTAAAAGTCCCACCTGTTTAACCCACGCTGCTGCCTTTCCCCGGAACCTCTGGGAACTACTGATCTTTTTACTGTCTTCTTAATCTTGCCTTTCCCAGTGTTGCATAGTTGGAATCATGTAGTCTGTAGCCTTTTATCTCTTTCTTTCTTTCTTTCTTTCTTTCTTTCTTTCTTTCTTTCTTTCTTTCTTTCTTCTTTCTTTCTTTCAAGATTTTATTTATTCGACAGGGAGAGAAAGAGAGAAAGAGGGAATACAAGCGGGGGGCTGGGAGAGGGAGAAGCAGGCTTCCCCCTGAGCAGGGAGCCTGATGTGAGGTTTGATACCAGGACTCTGGGTTCATAACCTGAGCCAAAGGCAGATGCTTAAAGACTGAGCCACCCAGGCACCCCCCAGTCTCTGGCCTTTTCACATTGGGTTCTTTCAGTTAAAGATATACACTTAAGTTTCTTCCATGTCTTTTTGTGGTTTGAGTGCTCTTTTCTTTTTATCATGAATAAGATTCCCCTATCTGGATGGACCACAGTTGGTTTATCCATTCACCTTCCAAAGGACGTCTTGTCTGCCTTTGGGTTTTGGCAATTATGAGGAAAGTGGCCGTAAATATCCTGGTGTGAGTTTTTGTGTGGACAGTAGTTTTCAACTCCTTTGGGTAGATACCAAGGAGCAGGACTGCTGGGTCATAGGGTAAGAGTTCTCTTAGTTTTGTGAGAAACTACTGAATTGTCTTCCAAGCTGGCCATGCCATTATGTGTCTTAATCAGTATTGGTGCTGTCCTTGTTTTGGTTTTGACCATCCTGATATGTGTGTAGTGGTTACTCACGTTCGTAGTTCTCTAATGACCTGTGGTGTTCAGCAGTTTTTTGCATGCTTATTTGCCATCATATATCTTTGGTGAGGTTTCTGTTCAGATCTCTTACGTATTTTTAAAAATTGGTTTGTTTGCTTTCCTACCGTTTAAAGAGTTCTTTTTGGATTTTGGACACTGGCTCTTTATCTGGTACTCTGCATAGACTACTCTTTCTGTCTATGGCTTGTACTTTTTTATCTTTAATTATTCAACCTCACTCAACATCATCATCCAACTCTTAAACTAAAGCACCTGCAGGTTTATAGCTATTAAAGAAGATGAACAAGTGAAATGCTCCATTCCTTTTCACCATGGACTGGTTTTGCAGTCGGGTGTGTTTGTAGATGGGATCGAGTCATCAAGCCCATCAGCGTCCATCTCAAGCCCCACGTTCTTAACCCACTGAGCCACCCAGGCGCCCCTCAAGCCCCATGTTCTTAACCGGGATCCTTGCTGCTATCATCTGAGAGTCAGCCTGCGTGTGACTTGTCCGAGTTGGCCGGGTCTTGCTGAGCCAATTGGAGCTGCCGACATTTTTGCTGACTGGAGTCATGCTATCTTTGCCAGTTTGCTGGAATAGACACAGACACCGATTGGGTCACGCTGAAGACATTCCTGTCTTGTGAAGCAAGTCTGTTTGTATTTTAGGTTTGCCAGGACTAATGAATTAAAACATTTGGACTCTCCACAACTTGCTGTTTATCAATGCCTCTGACAGGAGGAGGGTTTTCTTTTGCACTTGCTTTTTCTAGAAGCATGACCACATCCTGGCTGGTGGAGAGGCAAGGAAAGGAGAGAGGGGTTGTGGAGGGAAGCGGAACAGGGAGGCCTTGGGACGCGGGGTCTGGGGGAGAGCAGGTAGCAGTGAAGTGCCCTGACAGCTGTCATTGCTCCTCAGACTGTCCGTGACTGCTATGCAGCAGGTGCAGCCTGCTCTCTTACTAGGTCTTCACTCCACAAAGGCAACGACTGGCCAAGGCAGTGGCTGGCCCTGGATTACACAAGTGCAGACACTCAACTAAGTGAGGTAAGGCAACAGGTGTGAAAACCGAACTAAATGCTCGGGGCACCAGCAACTTAACTGAAGCCCTGGTACAGCCTAGAGGAGGAATCAGTGGTCCATTTCCCCAGGCGGTGTGATGAAAAGGCAAGTTGGTTGAGGGGCTCTCCTGGCTGACACCGTGAGGAGCTCAAAATCCACCCCACTTGGCCGCTGTCATCCTTTCCAAGGCAGACAGATGTTCTCGGTTGTGTGGAGGGGAGGGGCTCTCATGAGCTGTGTTTATCAGTTTCATTTCCCCGCGTTGGAAACCTTGAGGCAAATTCCCACCTCTTGTGCTTTATTTCTTGGTTCAGGAAAGCATTGGGAGATTGAGCCAAAAGAGCAGAGCTTTTCATCCTTAGATGTTAGGCTACGATGGGTTGGTGATGGTACAGTGCATAACAGTCAGACTTTTTCTCTTAGCTACAACTTTAAGTTTTTTTTTTTTTTTATTGTTTGTTTTGTTAAATTTGAGACAGTCTGTTCTATTCCCTAGGAACAGGTGGCTAACAAGATGGTTGATTCTAAGCAGAGGAGACTACACAGAAATGTATGTCAGAGCTAAGATAAAACAAATCCAGAGTCAAGTAACAGCAATTTTATATTACCCTTTTCTTAAGTTGAATGTTTCATGTTATTATTTTTTTTTTTTCTAACTTAGAAGGACATGACTCGGAGTGCTTTATGGTTCATTGCTGTTTGTGGTTTTAAATGAATGGGCCAAATACGATTCTAACTGGGTGATAAACAGCTGCTGGTTTTTCTCCAAAGCTATATGAGGTGTTTAATATAAGCCTGTTCTCTTTCCATATACTGGGTAGGATGAGTCCATATGTATGTATGTCTAAATATACGTGTGTGTGTGTGTGTGTGTGTGTGTGTATGTATGTATGCATTCGAGTTTGCTCTATAAATAAGTGTAAAAAACAAAATTCAGTGTTCTAGACACTATTTTTAGATACAAAAAAGTTATGGGAAAGAGTCGGAAACCTTGCTCTGAGAAAATGTCCTGCTAAACAGTTCCCAGAATCTTGCTGGGGATGGTTAAGAGATGATTTATATTTTGCCATTTTTAGAGACGTTTTCCTAAAAATATCACTCAGAGCTTTTGCTTTATGGTCTACATGAGAAGGAAAGTAGAGAGTTTAGGGGAAGCAGGATTAAAAATAGAAAAGTTGCACATGTGTATTTAAATAATGAAGATATCATGTATTCATAACAATCTCTTTTCCTTAGTCCCACTGAACAAAAATGATCAAATATCTTGGCTAAAATGTATTTGAGCTAAATTCCATTATTATAACAAGGAAATATGCATGTATTTTTTCCCATCCCAACTCATCTGTAGGATGTTTTTCCATTCATCCCATCTGAGTTTATTAATGATAATTTAGCAGGTACAGTGAAACATCTGTAGGATGTTTTTAAGTCCTTTTTTTTGCTTGTACAATACATTGTTAAGATGTGCAACCTGATAAAAATTTGATAGATTTATAGGTAGTTAACTAGATATTTAAAGCACATAATATTCATAATACAACTGTGGGATATTTTAAAATGTCTTTGGATTTCTTGAAGTGGTCCTTGATATTCATTCTTTATCACTCAATAATTCAGATCAATAATTCAGGTCCAATTTAGGCTTTTGAGTGTGAGAAGCTAATTTAATATGAAGCCATCTGATGTTCTATTAGGACTTCTTTATCCTCCTCAATTAAAAATAAAACACTATATAAGAACTTGAAGGCCAGGGTTAGATCAGTCAGTGTGAAGGGATACTAAAAAAGTGAGGTGGGTGGAGATTTTGCTCTACGTTGTATATTTTATTCTAGATATGTATTTCCAAAACAATTTTTTTTTATAAGCCAGAAAAAGAATTTGAAAAGGGGCAGGTGAATACTTTCCATGTAGGGAAAGAGAGCTAGGAACTGGGAGTATCTTCAAAATATGAATGCAATGCTTACTAACTTTCCCTCCGATTCCCAAGATCCTCTGAGTATTTGAGGGATGACTTGGGTAAGTGACAACGGCTCTCCCTTGTCCTTACAGCTGGAAGACCCAGGGGAAGGCCAAGGCTCAGGTGCCCACATGATCAGCACAGCCAGGGTACCTGCGGATAAGCCAGTACGCATTGCTTTCAGCCTCGATAATGCCTCAGGTAAGCTCTGTACCCAGGAAGGGGGCCATCTCCCTGCCTGTCACTGCTTTGTGGTCATCCTTTCCTGCTCCAAATAGGGTGTTTAAAAAATGCATGCCTGCCATGACCTAATGATGGGGCGTGTGATTTTTCATCAAGCATTATTGGAGCGTGGCTTCCAGAAATGCCTCTGGGGATGCTTCCCCCACCCCTGTCCCCGCCTCTGATGTCTGGTTGTTTTAGCACAACCAGAGGAGTTGTTTAGCACTTTTTGCTTTCCCTATTTAACTTTCTTTTAGCATTAAATTCCCGGAGCTATAACAATTTCTAACAATTCCCATGTATGTCATCATAGAAACTGTGTGAGGAGACGTTTATTAAAGCTCTGGCAGTTGGTTAGGTGATGTAAAAATAATCCCTGTCCCGGTTCCAGCAGCATTTCCTGGAGCCCGAGTTCCAAATGCTGGTTTCTCACTGGTGCTCCCACACTTCCGGCTGAACAAACAGACTTCAGCCAAGAGTGATGAATGGGACAGGTGAGGCAGACCCTCTTGAAATAGTAAGGTCTGAGGTGAGGCTGCCATACTTAGAGCCCTTTGTCATGACTCCCTTCAGTGACCTCTTAACACACATATTGAATTACACCACCTATGATGGGGACCTCAGGTGGTGTGAGGTCACAGACACGAGGAAGGGAATGCTTGGATCTCTTTCACTGGCATCAGCCTTGGCTCTCAGTCTGTCATCTGTTAAAATCCATATCACACACTCAAACATTACTCTTTCAACCTTGGGACTTTTGAGGACCGAGTCTATTTACCTATCTATCTATCAGTCGATCAGTCATCTATTTTTCTTTGTATGCTGCCCCTAGAGGGGTAATATTTTAAGAAGTAATAATTGAGAAGAAGCAAGTTTATCCCCAAAATAATGCAGAATAAGGATCTGGGCTGTGTGAAGTCTGACATTACCCAGCCAATTCAGGCTTCACTAATACCAAGTGATTATGGTGATGGTACATCTGCCTCCATTTTCCTGGACTGTGCAGACCCCAGCAGAGGATTTGTTCTAGAGAAAGAAGAGGTGAAGCCTTGACCCTCCGTCACCTGTTCTTTCAACCCTCTTCCCAATGGCCTGCTGTTGTCCTATATCTCTGCTCAGGGGTTGCCTTGAAATGCAGTGGTAAAGGGAAATCCTCCCAAAAGGCAAACCACCCATCCCAACAAGGAAAGGATGACTAACATTAATTGCATTTCTCTTTTGTATTAGGAAATGTATGTATTATTACATATGCATTATTTTAAATCTTCAAAATAACCATGCAATGTAGGGGCACCTGGCTGGGTCAGTTGGTAGGACATGTGACTCTTGATCTCAGGGTCCGAAGTTCAAGCCTCACACTGGGTAGAGAGATTACTTAAATAAATAAGTAAATACTAACAAAAATAACCATGTAATATAGACATTAGTATTGACAATTTGCAGACACAGAGCTTGAGGTCCAGAGACCACGCTGTTAGTAGGTAATAGAATTATGATTTAAATGTAGGTCTCTAGACTTATGAATCTGAACTCTATTATTCTATATCACTACTCTAAAAAGAAAAAAAGGAACCCCTCCTGCTTTCATGCATTTCATAAATGTAAGATTTTGAGGAATAGTTCATGCTTGAGTGGTTTGCTTTCAAGACAGATACATACGAGCCCCCAAATCTAGGGACAGAGAAGTATAATTTACTTCCTTGTGATCGTGTGCCATGTGAGCAGAACAAGTCTGGTTATAATCAGCAGTCTTAAAAAGACAATTTCAGTACATAAAGGTTATTTATTTCAAGCAGTGTTATTATATCATAATTTTGGGTGAGACAGATACATGTACTGTTTCTTCTTTGTCGTATTTATTTATTTATTAAGATTTTGTTTATTTATTTGAGAGAGAGAAGGTATATGAGCAGGGGGGGAGGAACAGAGGGAGAATCAGAGGGAGGGAGACTCCCCACTGAGCAGGGATCCTGATGCAGGATTCGATCCCAGGACTCTGGGATCATGACTTGAGCCAAAGGCAGATGCTTAGCTGTATGAGCTACCCAGGCGCCCTCCTCATCTTTATTTTAACATAATTTAATTTATGTACAAAACAGAACCATGGAGAGGTGGATCTTGATCTTTGAGCTGCATAGATTCTTCCTTGAAATACAAGATACACAGCTTGTCATTAATTTGCCACCATCCTTTGAATGGTATCAGCTCCTGACTAGAAGCTCTTGTATATTTTTGTTTTTTAAATCAGTCAGTTTAGATTGATTCTTCCCAGTCTTTCAAATGTCCCAAGAATGCCCACTTTCAAAATTCATGTTTATTGATACGGGAGCTTCCAAAAGGGGTTGTTGTTTAAGTAATCCCTACTCTCTAGCTCCACAAAAAGATGCATGGGAAGATGTATAAATAAATGGTTACAATTAAAAAAAATTTTTTCTCCCTGTGATCTGTATGTCCTCACATCTCTAAAAAGGCATCTAACTCGAGAATCCAAGGCAGGAGTGGGTTTCTGTGTTTCTCAGCCTTTCTTAAAATAATGACCTGAGAGTACTCACCAAAAATACATGTTCCAAGGCCCTACTCTTGTATATTCTGGGACAGTAGGGACAGATGGAGTCCCAGCAATCTGTATTTCTGTATGCATGTGAAGTTGTGAGTGCACAGAAAGATGCTTCACAGATATTTGGAGACACTCCCTCTGAATTCTTGAGTAAGGAGCCTGTGGAGTGTCACACTGAGCAACACTTGCAATCACGCACACTGTGCATGCCTTTCGAATTCCAGCGCATTCTAGAGCACACATTTAGAGGGAAAACAAAGGCAAACATCCTAGATTCCCATGGTAAATAGGGAAACTAGATGGAATTTTGGGAAGTAATTCCATATTTATGGACTGATCATTGAGGGGTATGCAGAGTCCATGAGAAAAGAGAACTTTTTGCCTGTTAATATTAAATTTATTCATTTCTTATGAGTCTAATACAGTGCTCATTCCTTTAGTTATTTTAGAATTATTTTTGCATATTTTTCTGACATGATTTGGCGTAGAGGTTAAGGATATAGGGCTTTGGAATCCCCGAGACGTGGTTTCTAGACCCATCTCTATCACCATGTGTGTGATCTTGGGCAAGTCACACAATTTTGCTGAACCTCAGTTTCCCACAAGATGTATATAGTGATAATTCACACAGTGGTTATAACAATTAAATATCACTATATAGGGAAAGCATTTAGCATAGTGCTTGACACAGATTCAGGACTCAAATGGTCCTTGTACCTATGATGATCGGTTCTGGACTATTAAGGAAAATATAGATGTCTTAAGCAGTTTTATGTCTCACCTACATCTTCCACATCCACTTAATGTCAAGATGAAGATTATAGTATAACTGGCCTGAGATTATTTAGATAGTGGTTATGCAATTGGTGGATTTGGGGTACCCCGTCTCTCCTCTTATCAATTAGCTGAACTTAGTTTCTATGCTTTTGCACTCTGCCACAGGTGAGTGAGATGTGCAAATGTAAAGTATGGCATGATCCCTCCCATAGGTTTCATAAAGAGAGTTGGGGGAAAAAAATCTGTGGATTGACCAACCTCTTGGGAGATGTGATATTCAACCTGCTCTTGAAGAAGGGTGGGGTATTAAAAGGCAGTGTAGGAAAGGAGCCATCTCTGGGTACCAGGTAAAAAAATGGGGGCTATATAACTTCTATTTATTTATTTATTTTTTGACAGAGATCACAAGTAGGCAGAGAGGCAGGCTCAGAGAGAGGAGGAAACAGGCTCCCTGTGGAGCAGAGAGCCCGATGCAGGGCTCGATCCCAGGACCCTGAGATCATGACCCGAGCTGGAGGCAGAGGCTTTTACCCACTGAGCCACCCAGGAGCCCCATGGGCTATATAACTTCCAAAAATTCTTCCTTTTCCTTCCAAACAGAAAGCCTGAGCAAAACCTAAAAGTCAGGAAGAGCATGATATATTCATGAGATAGTAAAATTCTCATCAGCTGGAGCAGAGGTCTGGAGGGTAGAAGAGTGGCATATCATTAAATGAACCTGCTTTGAGCTTTACCTGGAATATCTGTGTATATAGCCATTGGCTAGGATTAATATAATCCTAAAAGTTCAACAACAGGGTTTGAATTTGATCCGAAAAAAATCGAATGTCTAAAGTTCTTGAGCAAGGGAGTGATAGGATGAAAATGGTAAATGTTTGATTGGTTGAATAGTCTGGAATGGGTAGAGATAAGAGAATGGAAGAGGCTTTTTTTTTTTTTTTTATTATTTATTTATTTGTGAGAGAGAGAGAGAATGAGAGTGAGCCCAAGCAGGTAGAAGAGCAGGAGAGGGAGAAGCAGGCTTTCCACTGAGCAGGGAGCCAGACTCGGGGCTCAATCCCAGGACACTGGGATCATGACCCGAGCCGAAGGCAGACGCTCAACCGACTGAGCCACCCAAGCGCCACGGAAGAGGCTTTTTGTAACGGTACAGAGACAAAGTACTGAGTGCCTAGATCAGACGATGGAATGGGATGACTGAATTCAGAGTACATCATGAAGGGAGGGTTGAAAGGACTTGTTGACAGACTGGCTCTGGATGGGGCGTTGATCATGGTCTATTGATAGCAGAATGCACCACAAACTCCAGATAGACTGTGGACCTCCAGGCGCTTAAATACAGTAAACAAGTTTTTAGTGGGGGAAGTGGGGGGGGGTGTTGTAGAAAAAGCCCTTTAAAATACAATCACCACTTCTAGCCCATCATCAGAACCTTTCATTAAGTAACACTTAGCTCACAACGGTTCCTGAAGGCATCAATGACTCTTTTTAATAAACTAATGATATGATTGGCATTACTTCTAACCTGGGAATTCCAAAGAGTTAACTTTCTAAATTAGGATATTTCTGGAGTTAGTTTTCCCAATAGAAAATATGCAGAATAGAAACATGAATCCCATCTCTTGGGTTATTAGAGAATCACTGG